AGGGAGAAGCAGGCTTCCCGTGGAGCAGGGAGCCCGATGCAGGGCTCGATCCCAGGACCCTGGGATCATGACCTGAGCCAAAGGCAGATGCTTAACGACTGAGCCACCCAGGCGCCCCAAATGATAGCAATTCTTATGATGCTAAAACTTGTTCTCTTTTTTGCCACTCTGCCTCTCTATGCTCTGAAAAGAAATGCCCCTTTGTGTAGCCTGTGGTCAATTTGTTGAACAAGAATTTCTCATCTAATATCATCAAAAGTCATTGAGCTTTCACATGGGCAGTTAGCATAGATTTTAGGTTTGCTTTCTCCCTGGCTATGGATTTGCTTTTTTTCCTTTTGTGTTCTTGTTTGACTTGGGCCGAGTTGGGAGTACATTGTTTCATTTGAGCCTCTTCCTGACATAACATTGTATATGGTGTTCTTTGTATATTCGTAACCTCTCGAATTAGACTCAGTGTATTAAAGACTAATTTAGGCCTGTAGGAATCAAACCTATAGAAATTGGAAAGATAAGTCTAAATCTTAATTGTTGTTTATTGTTATTGTTTTTGCTTTTTATCCTGTAATTGCTTTGATATACATTACGGCATTTAAGTTTTATTAAAACCCCAGGCAGTGAAAAGAGAATAAAAGGAGATTAAGAAAGGAAACTCTTAATGTACTATAAGTACACGGCAAGACACCACATTAAGTACTTCATATTATTATCTCATTTGTTTCTTAAAACTATCTGCAAAGTAGGTAGCATTATCCCTATTTTGTAGGTGAGCATATGATCCTTTCTGATGCTTCATCTGCCCAAGATCATATAGCTGTTAACTAAGTGACAGAACCCTCAGAACCCAGGTTTTTATTCCAAAGTTCATCTTATTTTCATACTGCCCTGCTGCCTCCCCCAATTTAGGAGCATAGGCCTCTGCCTTATATTTCTTTGTAAACCATGTATTTTGACCTACCCTCTGGGCCACAAGATAATAGCATAAACTGCAGAACATTGGAACTGTGATAATTTTTTCTGTTGCCTCTAGGACTGGAGACCTGTCTTGCCTCGCCCAGCTTCTCTGGCCTTCTGTGGCCTACCTCTCGGCTCTTCTCCTCACTTAATACAGTTATATCTGGTTTATGGGAATAAGGAACGTTTTTAGGTTCAACCTTCTTTGGCTAAGTGAATAAATCTTATTTTTTGATTATGTGTGTTATCTTAGCTTTTATCACTTCATATTGCTCAAGAATGCAGAGCATTTAAATCTGAAGCCCTGCTGTAGTATATGTTCAGCAAGAGTCAAGCAAGTGAAAGCAGACTTACTTAAAAATTAAGAGGGCTTTATATCTAGTAAGAAAAATAGTCTCAAACTGCCATGTAATCTGTTCGTTCTGATAGACTACTGAGTAAAAGATGTTTTGAAGTCTGCCGAAAACTCTCCTTCTCGGTGTGATTTGTATTTTTAGCTGAGAGAGGAAAAGTTACAAGAGGAGAAAACCTCTGAAGATCAAATCCACAAGCTGTTATCGGAGGATACGGAAACAGGGAAAAGGAAAATGGACGACCAGAAAAAGAGAGATGAGCCATTAGTACTGAAGACAGATCTGGAACATGTAAGTAGATCACGGTTTTGATGGACAGCTGGCTCAAAATCAGTCATTAGCCCAGGTGACATGGGTCTGAAAACCTGTGTTGGTGAGCTGTGAGAGCAGTAATAGTCGCTGACCATGTAGTGGACGAGTAGTGAAGAACCTAGTGTCCAGATGGGAGCTGGAGAGAGTAACTCATGAATGGGACAATAGAGTTGTGTGGAAAGATTAAGGGAACAGTTGGGAAAAAAGGTGAGTGAGGGGAAATACCTAGTATAGAATACTACTTGTGGAAATTTGATACGTATGTTGTCATTTTGACTTATGTGTTGTTATTTGACATTTGAGTTTTGTACATCTTATATCCTCAACTAGGTTTCCTTAAAGCTTGTATTTGATTTCCCTCTATTCTTTTTAATGCCTTAAGCAACATAGTGCTAGATACAAGGTAGGTCTTCAATGTTAGATTACGTAGTTTAACTCTAATTAGATTTCTAATCTTGCCAAATCTTGCCCGAATTTTTTTCATTACTTATTTACCCAGCGAATTACTGGAAAAGGTTATAAGTGGTACATTTAATGTATGTAAGAAAGCATTTTTGGAAGGCCCACTGGGTACTCAAATGGATAATTACAATTGAGTTTTTTTCTTTAGTACATCATATTGGATCAGACATTTTCTATGGCTTGCTGTGTGTACTTAAGATAGCTTTAGAGTCGTTATCTTTTAAAATAGTTTGTGATTTAGACTTGTTAGTATTTCAGGTTAACTTTCTAATTAGCTGGGATTAATAAAGCTTTACTGTATATAAGACAGACAACATAGAATAGAGGAAAACCAAATCTCTGCACCAGGATTCGGCCTCTTTTTTTTTTTTTTTAAAGATTTTATTTATTTATCTGAGACAGAGAGAATGAGAGAGAGAGAGCACATGAGAGGGGGGAGGGTCAGAGGGAGAAGCAGACTCCCTGCCAAGCAGGGAGCCGGATGCGGGACTCGATCCAGGGACTCCAGGATCATGACCTGAGCTGAAGGCAGTCGCTTAACCAACTGAGCCACCCAGGCGCCCCAAGGATTCGGCCTCTTAAACAGGTCCCAGCATTGTAACAGACTGTACAGCTTTGGCCAGGTTAGTTAATTTCACTGTGCTTTTGCTTCACTCTTTGCAAAGGCATTTTTCCTGAACTTGAGGAAATGAAATTATTTAAGCTTTCTTGGATCCATGGTATTTGCTGCTGTCAACTGTGCATTTTTGATCCCAGTTATAACAATAATAATTGTTATTATTTAATTCTTGTAAAAGTAACCACTTGCATTTTGGAGGGTTTCACCCTTCTAAAAGATTCAGCTTAACAAACATGAAATGCTTGCATACTCTTAATGCTCTGTTCATTGGGAACTACAAAAGGAAAAAGACTGGAAAGGATGCAATTTAGCTAGGAAGGCAAGAGTAAAATATGATAGCTTTGTGCATACAGTGTGTTTTCTGACTAATAGCCCCAACTGTGGTCTGTGATCTCTAGACTACAACTCTGCTTCTTCACCCCAGCAGGGCCCTCCTTTAGATCCCTTAGGCAAAATGACCCAGAAGGACCTTTCTCTTTAGGACAAACCGATCTTGACAAAGAGAGCTTACCCTCCACTGGGGTCCTTTGATAGAAAGAACCTGCTGTTTTTGGCCTGGCCAGATCCAAATTTCCTCTAGGAAATGATCTCTAGTATTAATTCATGTCAAGGCCAGGAAATGGCTCTAATTATTTTTTCTTTTGCCACTACCAGCTTTGAAATAGAAATCAACTGCATTTTATAATCTTAAAAGGAATTGTAATCTTTTTTTTTAAATTTAATTTTATTATGTTGGTCACCGTACAATACATCATTAGTTTTTGATGTAGTGTTCCACGATTCATTGTTTTCGTAATTGTAATCTTAAAAGGAATCAGGAAGTATAAATCCTTTTTTTTGCAATAGTTTCACAAAATTTTATATGCAAAAACACATTGAATAAAGTTTTAGATTTTTGTGATTGTATCTCTTTTTCTGTTTGCTTTTGTCTTTTTGAGGACTTTTAAAGGCCTCTGATTTTGCTTTAAATAGGTCTTAAGAGTTTTTGGTACTGGAAAAAGAATTTCATTTAGTCTGCCAAGACTACATTCAAATTGGGACCAAAGAGAGAGCCTCCAAGAGAGGCTCAGTGGAAAGCCAGCTGAAGGATTGTATTTTATGTAGAGAACAATATGATTAGAGCTGAAGTGATCATTTTACTTTCCTGCACCAAAAGACTTGGTGATTCCCCATTTCCTATGGAATTAAATGAAAATTCTTTACCCCAACATTCAGGTCCTTAGTATTGTTCTAACTGATCTTCCCATCCTTACTCATGCCCCCAAATTCTAGGGAACAGAGCTGTTTGTGTTCCCCCAAATATATAACTTTATGCTTTTCCTCCTTAGAGTCTTTGCTGTTGCATTTTCATCTAATTGAAATGCCACACTGCTTACCTGTTGAAAGGCTATTCATCTCTCCATACCCAGTGCAAAAGCAGTCACCTTCCTGGAACCTATAGGAATTCCTCAGTTGTTTCTCCACTCCTACCATCTACTCTCTCCCCTCCCAAGTTTGTAAATTTACAGGACTTATTTCTTTCTCCATTACATTATGCTTGTGTATTTGTGTTTCTCTACTAGATTTATAAGTTTGTTGAGTAAGGGAAATGTGTCCTAGCTATTTTAAAATCTCCCACAGTATCTTGTATATCACAAGTGTTTGATTCATGTTTATCAAGTTGAATTCAAATGGAGGGAGGAAAGTGCTTATTCTAGAGGAAGATATTACCATCTGTTGTTATCAGTTTGGAGTGGAAATAAAATGGACATGACAACTTATGATTTGTTATGGTACAGTTAATACCAATAACAGTGTGAATTATTGGAAAACAATTGGTATAACAGTTACAGTCATAGCAAAGAGATATGCTATGAAAAGTTGCTCATCATCCAACAACTTAGAGACAACCCTTATGAACATTTTGGTAACTGTCTTTCTGGACTTCTTTTCTAAGTGCATATAAAGAAACTTCAAATGTAAACTGAAAGACTCAAAAAGAGTCTAAAAATGAAGGTAACTGAATGAGTATCAACATGTTGGAAAAAGCTTGACTCTAGGGGTATTTAGAAGTCCTCGCAGAGAAAGTGGCATATAAGATGCCCCTGAAGGGCCAATGAGTATTTTTTAGGCAGAGAATGTGGAATAGGAGTTACAGGCAAAGGGAATAGCATGCCCAGAAGAGAGGCTTTGAAAGGCTATGATGGTACACGGAGAGTAGAGTAATAGGTTATATCTGTGTGCTTGATAGTATGGTAGGATTAGAGGGAAGAAAGGCTGACGAGAGCAGTAAGTAGATGATTGCAACAGTCCAGGCAGAAGAGGATGAGAATCTAAGGCAAGGCAATGTCAGTGAGTATACATGGGAAGGGTTAGATCTGAACGCATTTTAGGAGTAGAGTGGAACAGGCATGGAGGCAGCTTGGAGATGGACACTCTGGATTGAAGTCCTAGTGTTAGCTACTTACTAACTCCACAGTCTTAGGCACATTAACTATTCTGAGCCTCAGTTTGCCACCGGGAGAAGACAGGTCATCCTTTCTTAATAGGGCGCAAATGAAATATAATATCGAGAAGTATTGGGTGTATTCAGAACCTCCATGACTCTGAAGAAAGGGAAAGGAGAGAGTCAGAGAAGACATCGAGGCTTCTAGCTGGGTTGGTAGTGGGGCTTAGAGAAGAAAAGAGTGAATTGAATTTTGGATATATTAAGTTTGAGCTACATTTGGGATACCCAGATCAGGATCTCCAAGAGGCAGTTGGAAACATGGGTGCTCCCTGAGAGACAGGACGTACAATAGCTGTGAAACAATAACTTTGGGAGAGTCCATGGGCACACCAAAAAGACAGTGTTGTCTCCCTTGTCTCCTGCCAGTGTCCTGCGCGCCTCTCAGATTCAGAGAACGAAGAACCTTCCCGAGGCAAGATGACACAGACCCATCGCTCGGCATTTGTTTCTAAGAACAACTCCTACTCCTTAGCTTTCCTGGCAGGGTAAGAGACTGATACTGAATTCAGTTGCGATTCTTTCGTTTTGGAGTATGAGACTAAAGGGACTTGGGTGGGGAGCAAAAGTGTTTGTTGCAGCCACTTTTCGGGGAGGTGGGAAAGGGGGAACGATGTGGGAATTGGTTTTCAAATATCCATTAGGAACAAAGGGCTGATCTAAAAGTGATTTTTACCGATTTCTGGTGTCCTCAGGGTAGGATTATGCTAATTTCTGTGCTGCGAAGTGTGACCTTTTTATCCTTGGAGGGAACCACAAAGACAGCTTCTGCAAACAATATCCATCCATTCTCTCTGTGGACTTTTTTTTCTTGGTAGGAAGTGAGGCCAGAGTCATTTTATTTTCAATGCCTACAACTAAAATATATCTTGAATAGATTTCAGGAGGGCAAACTGAAAGGTTTTTAAGACCCTTGTCAAGGAATCTCTTGATCCTTTAGACTTTGCAGGCTGTGGGGAGGAAAGGAGGGAGAGGAAATGGATGGATGTTGGATGATGGAGGGAATAATGAAGGGACTAGGTGCAAGGAAAAAGGAAAGAAGGAGGAAGGATGGAAGGAAAAAGAGGAGAGAGGGAAGGAAGGAAGGAAGAGGGGAAGAGGGATACATAAATAGGAGGAAGGGAAGAAGAAGTGGAGGAGGGATGGTAGGAAGGAATCATTTATTCAGCAGACATTCTGTGAACAGCTACTATGTGCCATGCTCTCTGTTTTAATATAAAATGAAAAAACGTCATCTTATGCCATTGTGTTGTCTGTTTCTGGTTAAAGCTGGCATTACTCACCCTTATATCTGGGGTTCCTTTCCTCCTTCCCAGCAGTCCCATAAGGTAGATCTCTCTTTTTTGCTGCCCCTGTAGACATACACCTATTTATTTTATTCTTTTATTTTGAGGCTTTTTATTGCTAATCACTAATAAATGTGACCCCAAAAAGCTTCCAACTTAAGAATGTTATAAAGTACGAACTATTGTGATCCCTGATGTCGTTTTTATATCTGAATCTTTTTTGTATGTGTTCTTTTGGAGCAGTCTGATTTTCCTGTTATTTCTGAGAGTAACATTCACTAACCGCCCACCTTCCCTTAAATGCCTCCCCTTCTCTAGGTAATGGTAACTCCTTCTTCCAGGAAGGCTCTTTCCTGGAGTATTTATTCATTCATTTGACATTTGTTTAGTGGTCACTGTATTGTAGCCACTTAGGTTTGATTGATGTAATCAGAACCCAATAAGTAAGATGTAAGCCAGCATACTTTCCATTTATGGTAAAGATTAAACTCTTAACGTTGTGCATATGAACTTGAACTGAAGATGCCCTCTAAAGTTAAAAAATTCAAGATTGCTTGACTAAGAATTTTTCAGCTGCTGATTGTATATATGGAGCTCCCCCCATTTATAGCAGGCATATTTTAATGATTACGAGAGAGATCTACTGACAAGAGAAAAAGATCATATCATTAATTCCAATGAAGTCACAAGAAATACTCCCTAAAGCAAATAAATGTTGCTTTTAGGCAGTCTGTGATTAATTAAAATCTCATAATTTGAAATGACTTGGAAAAAAGAGAACTATTTATTAAAATCCAAATATGATGCCGAGGCCAAATTGCCTCAATTAGTTATCACCAATTCCAATCTCTACTCTTACAAATTCGTTCTTATAAAGGAGGTAGCAGGTTAATATGTTGTTACTTAGAAATGCCTAGCAAGGAACTTAGAAAATTCTTTTTAAAGGGTAAAACATAAAGCCCTTACGGAGGGGTTTGCTTTTTTAAATTTAAATTTAAATTTTTAAAAAAGATTTATTTATTTAAGAGAGAGAGAGAGCATGAGCAGGAGGGACAGAGGGAGAGGGAGAGAGATTCTCTCCCTCTGCTTGTGCTCTCTGCTGAGCACAGAGCCTGATGCAGGGCTTAATTCCACGATCTTGAGATCACGACCCAAGCCAAAACCAAGAGTTGGATGCCCAACCGACTGTGCCACCCAGGTGCCCTGGGGTTTGCTTTTAATTATGTGTGGTTCTGGAATCTCTGTAATACATCTTCTTTTCCTGCTCCTTGGCCCACTCTTGCCCTTACTCTGTATCATTGAGCCACAATAGGACTACTTTATAGGAGAAGAGTCACATAACATTTTACTATTAATGAGTGTTTGCAATTTGTCTTACACATTTCAGCATTCATTTTTTCCAAATATCCAAGGTTGTGGACTGAGTTCAGTTATTAGTACAGTTATTAGAACAATTCATTGGATTTGGTTGGTAGGCATATCTTTTTAGGACATAGTTTGCTGATGTCATGGAAACCTTAGGTTGGAAAATCGATTATGGTAATACTGTGAATTGCCTCTCTTATGTAGTCAACAGGTTTTTTCCTTAGATAAGAAAATATTTAAATTTCAGTTCCAAAGAATACTTAGAAAAACAATATGGACTTGTTTTTGTTTTGTTGTTGTTGTTTTATTTTTTTTTTAAAGATTTTTTTAAAATTTATTTTTTAACAGAGAGAGAGACAGTGAGAGAGGGAACACAAGCAGGGAGAGTGGGAAAGGGAGAAGCAGGCTTCCCGCCGAGCAGGGAGCCCAATGTGGGGCTCGATCCCAGGACTCTGGGATCATGACCTGAGCCGAAGGCAGACGCTTAACGACTGAGCCACTCAGGCGCCCTGTTGTTGTTGTTTTAAAGATTTGTTTATTTATTTGAGAGAGAGAGAGACAGCACAAGCAGAGGGAGAGGCAGAGGGAGAGGGAGAAGCAGACTCCCCGCTGAGCCGGGAGCCCGACACAGGGCTCAATCCCAGGACCTGGAGATCATGACCTGAGCCGAAGGCAGATGCTCAACCATCTGAGCCATCCAGGTGCCTCCAATATGGACTTGTTAATGCTGAAATTGTTGCCAGGTGAATTGGGGAGACTCTCTGAGGCCCTAAGGCCTTGACCCAGCCCATCCCAAAGATGTTGCTGAAGGCTCTTGGTCTCCTTGCAAGAAAGAATTCAAGGATAGACCAGACACAACAGTTGAGTGTGCAAGTAGGAAAGTTCATGAAAATGAGAGTCCACTGTTGAGATATGAGAGCAGGCAAGCTCAAGGAGAGCGCACCCTGGGGTTGGGTTTCTGTCTTTTATTGACAGTTGTTCACTACAGGGTGGAATACTTATTCCTTGGGGAGGGGATTTCTTGGGAGCAGTGTTTCATACCTTTTCTCTTTACTTGGTCAGGATCTCTGGCCTTCTTTTCTTGGGCCCATCTGGTTTGATCTGGCTTCTATGGCTTTGTTTTTGGAGCCAGCCAGGATGGGTCTCTAACTTTCCCTGATAGCGGCAGTGAGCCATCACTCACTCACACACACACACACACACACACACACACACACACACACCCCCCTCTTGGCTGGCCTGTTAAAGCCTGACTAACTGCCTACTCTAACACAATGGGATGTAGCTTATGGATATATTAAAAAATAATTAGTATGGTGATGGTTGCACAACAATGTGACTGTAAACTTCAAATGGTTAAAGTGATGGCTTTTATGTTATATATATTTTTCCACATTAAAAAAAGTATTAGCATTTTTAATAGTTTTTAGATATTTCAAATGCCTTTTTTTCCATGTGTTAAGCAACAACAAAAGAATAGGTTTTCTCCGTAAGTTCTTTTCCTCAAGAGAGGTCATATGTAAAAGCTTTGGAAGTTGTTGCAACTGTATTTAAATAAAATCAATCTGCATTTGTTTTACTTATCTACTTCATAAATGTTTCTTTCTTAAGCCCAAAGGCATAGAGGTAAGAATGAGTAGGCCTGATAGGATGGTTATTTTGGAAGGAATCCATTAATCGACTCTGGCTGTAAGTCTTGCGAACAACCCAGTCTCTCTTTATATGAAAAATTCAAAGCAAAGAGGGCTTTAAAGCACTATTCCTAAAATTGTACAGTCCTATTGAAAATGAAACGTCTCTCGAGTAGGCAGATAGAGTAATAGTTAATCCAAGATCATTCCTAAGTTAATCACAAAATATATGTTAATTGAAAAAAGTGAACTTGAACCATAAGATACATCATTGTAAAGTTAAACTTTTATTTGATATATTGAGAAACTGGTTTGTTTGTTCACATTTATTTCCCTTCACTCCTCATTCCTTTCTTCCTCACTAGAATCAAACAAAAAACCTGGTTGCAGATTCTTCCAAAAGCTCAGCCTAGAAAAACTTTCTCTGTTGAGGTGTGTCTTTTCAAAAGGCTACATGACCACTTTCATTTTCCTCTTTGCTTTTGCTATCAGGAGGTTTAGAATTAGGGTTTTTAGTTCAGTCATCATGACTTTCCAACATGGCCTATAATTTAAAACAACAACAACAACAACAACAAACTTTGGTTTACTTTTTCCATATTTATTATTTAATGTGATCTCTATCCTCCATTAAGGCTGAGTCTTTATGTATTTTTGCAGTAAGTCACTATGGATTTTTCTTGGAAATAGGGCATAATCATAAAAAGGGATATAATTCAACCATCTATCCTCTTTCCAGTTTAAAAAATGAAAAAAAAAAAAAAGACAGTAATGCAGTGTTCCCTGTATTGCCATTCCATACAAAATCATATCTTACGTAAATGGCGCTTAGCAAGATTTCTGGCACATGGTAAGTTCAGTGACTATTACTGCCACTCTATATTCTTTTAGAATGTGGACCCTTAGAGCTGAAAAGGATCTTAAATATTATCTTAACTAATTCTTTTGTTTTATTGATGAGAAGACTAAAGCCTGGAGAGAGAAGATGGTTTGCCAAATCTCAGATAGCTAGAATAGTAGGGATCTGAGTTAGAATAGTTAGGGGCTCTTTCCACTCTACCCCAGTGTCCCCCATCTCCTTCGTATAGACCCCTCTGCCACCTCTGCCTGTCTTCCCACTGGACTTTAAATTCTTTGCAAGCAGGAACAGCATCTTGTTCACCTTTATAGTTGCAATGCTTAGGGAGGCGCCTGGCCTATGGGGGG